GGGTTTAGTCCACTTTTGTATCCTTCCCTTCAAGGCTCAGGGATCCAAGATTATCTTCTGTGTCTGTGTTAATTGGTTTCCCTTTTCTTTGTTGAAGAGCATCTGTGCAGTCCTTCTGCCTAGTCCACCATCTTGCCGGTAAAAACCCTGTCTTTGGTTTTGATGAGTTTGATGATATGTGTCTTGGTGATTTTCTTTTGGGGTCTATCCTGTATGGGGTTCATTGGACTTCCTGAATGGATATATTCACATCTTTCATCATATCAGGGAAGTTCTCCTCCAGCAAATCTTGGACCATTTCCTCAGTGGCTTTATTTTTTTCTTCCTGTTCTGGAATTCCAATGACAGTTATTCCTTTTGATGGTATCCCACATGAACCTTAGGCTTTCTTCATTTTGTTTTGATTTTTTTTTTTCTGATTGATCCCTTTCCAAAGAAGTATTCAGGTATTTGTCTTCAGTACCATTAATTCTTTTTTCCGTTGCATCAATTCTCCTCCTTTGCCCTTCCAATGTATTATCTATTCCTGATAATTTAGTATTAATCTTCTGGGTTTCTGTCTGTAGATTTAGTATCATTTATAATTTTTCATTTATTTTGTCATTTTGTTCTTATATTTTCTTCCAAAATTCTTCTGGGTTTTTTCTGTGTTTTCTTTGGTCTGTCTCTCAATCCTTTGAAGATACATAAATATAATTCTTTTGAATTCCTTATCAGAGAGTTTCAATGCTGCTTCTTCCTTAGGGATGTGTTCTGGGTCTGTATCCTGCTCCCTTGTTTCTATCCCTTTATCTTGCTTGTTTGTGTGGACTGTGATGGTCTCTTGTCTCCAAGGCATAGTGGCATTGTTGTATTTAGATCTCTGTTAACTGTTTGTGAAGAGCATCCAAGGTGATTCAGACTTCTCTTGGTGGTTTTTATCGTTGGCCTGTTGGTGGAGATGGAGGTGGTGGCTATCGCTCAGTAAGTGAAGTTGCAGGAGGTGTGGGTGTAGCTGTGTCAAAATCCACAGCTCAGCCCACCCTCCTCTTCGCTGCTTCTCCTTTTATTCACCAGCCACCAGAGCAGTCCTCTGTGCAGTCCCTGCTAGCAGGGCTGATTTTTAGGTTAATTGTTAGGTCCTACCAGACTCGGCATTCTCCAAGCTGTCTGTGCCATGCTGTCAGGATTGCTGCCAGACTGCAGTTCTATATGTCTCCTTTGTTGGTATTTTCATGCAAATTCTTCTGCTAGTTGGGGTTTAGTCCACTTCTATGTCCTTTCCTTCAAGGCTCAGGGGTCCAAGATTATCTTCTGTGTCTGTGTTAATTGGTTCCCCTTTTCTTTGTTGAAGTGGGTTTGTGCAGTCTTTCTGCCTAGTCCGCCATCTTACCAGAAGTCTCTTTAATTTGTGTTTTTTTTAAAATTTCAAATTTATAGCATAGTTGAAAAAATCAGTCAGTGAACTCCCATTTGTGTAGATTTACCAATTGTTAACATTCTGCTCCAGTTGCTTTACCACTCTCTATATAATATTAGGGGCAGTGGTGGTTCAGTGGTACAGTTCTCATCTTCCATGCAGGAAACCCAGGTTCGATTCCTGGCCAGTACACCTCAAGCACAAGTACCAGCATCTGTTAGTGGAAGTTTGCATCTTGTTATGATGCTGAATGGGCTTCAGTGGAGCTTCCAGACTAAGACATTGCTTGGAAGAAAGGCATGGTGATTTACTTCCAAAACTCAGCCAGTGAAAACCCTGTGGATCACAACAAATGATGGGGATGGCTTAGGACTGGCACATAGAGTTGTCACGAGGCAGGGGCCAACTCACCAACAGCTGACAACAATGCAGTAGTATTTTTGTGCAGCAATTTGAGAGTAAGTGGGGCTGACATCATAATTTTTTACTCCTAAATATGTTATCATGTATTTAAAAACAAAGACAGTCTCTTACCTAATCATAGTACAGCCATTCAAATTCAGGAAGTTTCATTGATAACAATGCTATTAATAGCTACAACAATAGGCTCAAACAAACCAGCAATTGTGAAGATTGTGCAGGACCAGGCAATGTTTCATTCTGTTAAACCTGAGGTAGCCATGAGTCAGCCCACTCCACAGCAACTAACAACAATACTATTTATTACCTCGAGTTAAATACAGTCCAAATTAAAATTTTTGCAAATCATCTGAAAAATGCCCTTTGTAGTGTTATTTTTTTCAGACACAGAATTGTGGATTATCTTTAATTGTCATCTGTGTCAGTTCACTATAGCTGCTATAACAAAGTACCACAAACTGGGTAGATTAAAACAACAAGTTTGTTCTCATAGTTCTGGTGTCTGGACCATCTGAATGTAGGGTATTGGTAGAGTCATGCTCTTGAAGTCTTTAAGGGAAGATTCTTCCTCATCTCCCAGTTTCTGGCGGCTCCAGGTGCTCCTAGGTTATGGCAGCGTAACTCCAAACTGCCTCAGTCTTCACATGGCAGTCTTCCTTCTGCATTGGTTGGTCTGTCTCTTTTTATAAGGGCACTTGTTGGATTAGGGCATAGCCTTCTGCAGTGTGAACTCATGTTTAAGTAATGTGTGCAAAGACACTATTTTCAAATTGGTCACTTTCATAGGTACTGGGACTTAACAAAAACAAACACACACACGCACTGCCGTCAAATCGATTTCAACTCATAGCGACCTGTCCTTGGGTTTCCGAGGCAGTATCACTATGGAAATAGATTGCCCAATCTTCCCTCCAGGGAGTGGTTGGTGGGTTTGAACCACCAGCCTTCTGGCATACGCCACCAGAGCTCTTCAATATGTCTTTTTGGGAGACACAATTCAGCCCATAATATGCAAGGTTTGTTACCTTTGGAACATGTCACTGCTGTTCAGAACAGAAGGTAATCTTTTGAATCCTGCTTCCTGCAACCTTTGTTAAAGAAAAAAGGCTGTAGAGATTTTGGAGGGGATGCTTATTAAAAAAACAAAACTGCCCAGGAAAGCGGGACTTTTATGTTTTTAATTTTGAAAACTTTGGCTGGGTTTTGGTGTCTTGACTCAGCAAAATCTGTAATGCAGCAAGGCTTGGTAAGCATTACTGGGGGTGCTGAAGCTTTTCTTTATTTCATAATCCCAATTGTTTTTCTAGAAACCATCAATAGCCTCCAAATGACTGACTCAATTTTTGGATCCGATTCTCATGACCAAGCAAATGTTTGATTTGAAACTGGCCCACTATAAATGTTGTTTCTGTGCCTCTAACTCTCTGTAGCTATTCCTGAATTTCTTTCAGCACTGGGGAAACCAACCTATGCACCAAAAATGTCTAAAACTGGAAACAAGGTAAGTAAATGGTCATACTGGTTTCTGGCCTGCCTGCTTTCTTTTCATCTAACGATCCAACGAAAGAAACAATGAGAAAAGTTTTTGCCTAGTTGTCTGTAGGTATGATAGAGTAGGCTGGGATTAGGAGGGAAGGTTAAATCCTTATTGTATTTTCACTCTAACAGAATTACCCAACACTTTTTTTTTTATTTAAATTAAGAGTATATCTTTATGTGTAGTGTGATGTTGAATACTGTACAAGTAAATAATGTATAAATATGGTTTCAGCCTTTCAGCAGCTCACATTCTTTGTATCGCCACAGGAATAGGACATGCTGATAAGAGGATTATGTAAACTACAGAATTTTGGTATTCATTTAAAAATGGGTTTTGTGAAATTCAACCACAACCTTTAATGTTCTAAGAAGCTCCAATGACATGGTGGTTAAAGCATTTGGCTGCTAAACTAAAGGTTGAGTTTGAACCCACGTGTCAATTCTGACTTGTAGGACAGAGTAGAACTCTCATAGGGCTTCCAATGAAACCTTTACAGGAGCAGATTGCTACATCTTTCTCCAAAGGAGCATCTGGTGGGTTTGAACCGCCAGCCTTTCAGTTAGCATCTGAGCACTTAACCACTGACCACTGAGCCATCAGGACTCCAATTAGGACTTGATGGCAAAGTGTTTTTTTTTTTTTTTTTTAATCTAGAACAGTCTTTATCTTTTGTGTTTTGAGACATTGACATTTTTCAAAGTCTAAGCTAGGTGTCTTGTAGAAAGTCCTGCAATTTTTATTTGTCTAAGCATCTCCTCATATTTGGATTTAGATTAAACACTTTTGGCAAGAAAACAACATAAGCAATGCTGAGTACCTCCCATTGCACCATCCCACTGTGTCAGGAGGCACCTGTTAACTTGTCCCACAACTGGTTATTGCCTGTTTTTCCCCTTTTGGAAGACAGAACTAATAATCCTACTTGTCATCCAAGAGGTTTGAGTAGAAAAATAAAGAGTGTCTTTAGTGCTGTCTCTCTTTCTCACTGCTATTGAGTCAATTCTGACTCATAGCAACTCCCACTGGGTTCCAAGGCTGTAAATCTTTACAGAAGCAGACTGCTTCATCTTTCTTCTGCAGAGCAGCTGGTAGGTTCAACCACCAACCTTTTGGTTAACAGCTAAGTGCCTTAACCACTACACCACTAGAGCTTTTTCCTTAGTTCTGTGAGGATCTTAAAAGTATGTTACGCAAATTTCACTACAAAGAATTTGAAGTCCTTAGTTTGGAAGGGCTATCCATGTGCTTTAAGGGAATAATACCAGTTCCAATAGCATGTCCCTTGCAAAGTCTTCTTTTTGGTGAATAGCTGGCCAACAACCAAAGGTAAAGTAGAGCATATGAATTACAGAATTTAGAATCTATCCTTAGAAAAGTTCCCTTGATTCTCCTAAAGATATTTCACAGGCCTTGGGAAAAGCCTCTCACACTCTCGAGATCAGTCTTGTTCAGTTTCAAAGACAGTAAATGCTGCCATGTGGAACAGAGCTAGCTTTGCCCGTAGGAGGCAGCAAAGGGAGATAAAAAAAAAAGGAGCTACAAATTAGGAACGAGTTGTGTGCTGCAGTTCATTGATTTGCCTGAAAATAACATTTAACTGCCTACTGGTCTTAAGTAAATCACTTAACCTCATCATCTGTGATAACAGTTGTAGTAAAAGCTTATAGGCAATTATAAGGCAGATATTTAACCTAAATGCTTTATCCACGTTATCCTATTGGACCCTCACAACAACCTTCTATGGTAGTTAATCTAGTTTACAAATGAAGATACTGTGTTTGAGAGACTCAGTGCCTTGTCCAAGTTTGCACAGCTAGTAAGTAGGGGATCCATAGCTGAATTCATGAGTGGTGCTAGGATTTTTTTTTCCTTCACCTATAAACTGAGGTACCATGATATCTCTAAATATGTGCTATGCTAAGATAAGGAGCCCTGGTTGTGCAGTGGTTAAGCACTTGGCTGTTACCTGAAAGGTCAGCAGTTTGAACTTGCTACCAGCTGTGTCACAGGGAAAAGACATGGCAGTCTGCTTCTGTAAAGTTTTAGCACCTTAAGAAACCCTATAAGGCAGTTCTACTCTGTCCTATAGGGTCACTATGAATCAGAGTTGATTCCATAGTAACGGAGATGCTAAGATAGGGAAGGAAACTGGAAGAGATAAAGAAATGGAGGAGACAGCCGATGACTGAAGGGTGGGAAGGGAAAAGGAAGCTTTTGTTGTTGTGTGCCGTCAAGTCGGACCCAACTCATAGTGACCCCTTCTTGGGTTTCTGAGGCGGTATCACTACGGAAGTAGATTGTCCAACTTTCCTTTCGAGGGGTGGCTGGGTTTGAACCGCCAGCCTTCTGGTTAGCAGTCAAGGGCCTAGGCAGAAATGGGAAGGGAAAAAATTAAGGCGGAAGAAGGAATTACTAGTATATTACTATTTAGAAAGGATCATATGGAGTAGAAGAGAATGAGATTCATGCCCTTTTATGGGTCATTCTTGGTTTCTTCCTCTCCTTCATTCCCTTCATCTGATTAGTCACCAAATGCCAAATTTCTTGACATGGTTATTCACATTGGAGCTGCCTTTCAAGTGTCCCTCATCATCTCTCACCTGGACCACTAAAGCCACCTGTTTATGGGCACAAAGCACTGCATACACTATTTCTCCCACAAAATCACTGAAGAAATTCAGCATAGTTCCTGTGTCATTTTTCTGGCTTTATTTCCTAATACTGCGCTACATACCCACTGTGCACTAGTCTTAATGAATTTATTGTCCTTTAGTGGGCCATCTGGAGCTCTGGTGGCATAGTGCCTAAGGCATTTGACTGCTAACCAGAAGGCTGGCAGTTCAACCCACCAGCCACTCCTCAAAAGGAAGATTGGGCAATCTACTTCCGTAGAGATCAAACACACTCGTTGAGTTGGTTCTGACTCATAGCGACCCCTCCCTGTGTTTCTGAGGCCGTATCACTACGGAAGTAGATTGCCCAACCTTCCTTCTGAGGAGAGGCTGTGGGTCCGTCTCCGAAACCTAAGGAGGGGTCGCTATGAGTCGGAAAGGACTCAATGGCACTGAGTTTGGTTTTGGCTAGTGTGGGCCATCCATGTTCTTTTACGCCTTTATTCTTTTGATCAGGCTTGTTCTCTTCCTTTTTCCTCCAGAAAACCTCTAAACCAAAACCAAACGCACTGCCATCGAGTCAGATCCGACTCATAGCGACCCCTCCTTGGGTTTCCGAGGTGGTATCACTAAGGAAGTAGATTGCCCAACCTTCCTTTCCAGGAGTGGCTGGTGGGTTTGAACCGCCAGTCTTCTGGTTAGCAGTCACAGGCCTTAGGCACCGCGCCACCAGAGCTCCTTAGAAAACCCCTACTTATCTCTTAATCCTCATTTTAAAAATCCCTGCAAGACACTTTTACCAGGCTCCTCTCCTTACATCTGAAATGGCTTTTGTTTTTCACATTTAAAATGATAAAACAAATCAGCCACAAGGTGGCAGCATAATACCAGGAAACCGCTTGACACCTTTCTGTGGTTTCAGTTTGAATTACAACCCAGCAAGTGAGTTTGGATTGTGGAATTGTAGAGCAACAAGGAAGGTTGGCCAATCTACTTCTGTAGTGATACTACCTCTGAAACCCAAGGAGGGGTCGCTATGAGTCGGTCGACTTGACGGCACATAACAACAACAACAGAGCAAGAAGGGACAGACTCGAGACCGTTTGGCCTTGTTTTCATCAACTGCTCGGTGAAGACCTAGAAACTCCTGGGAACGCCATCCTCTGTTTTTAACCAGGAAAAGCTCTGTTGTTGTTATATGCCATTGAGTCGGGCCCGTTTCTGAGGCAGTATCACTACGGAAGTAGATTGCCCATCTTTCTTCCGAGGAGTGGCTGGTGGATTTGACCCGCCAGCCTTCTGGTTAGCAGTCAAGTGCCTTAGGCACTACACTACCAGAACCCCTAGGAAAGGCTCTCTAAATTTTATTTATTAGAAGCCAGGACTTCTAATCTAATCTAATCTTTTACAAATGTGATGCTGAGGCCCAGATTGGTGATGACTAAGGTAATAGGAGCTCTGTTGGTGTAGTAGCTAAGGCATCTGACTGCTAACCAGAAGTTAGCAGTCTTCGGAAGGAAGTTTGGGTAATCTACTTCTGTAGTGATACTGCTTGGGAAACCCAAGGAGGGCTCGCTATGAGTCGTATTCGACTGGACCGCAGTGAGTTTGGTTTTTGGAGTAAGGTAATGGAGCAGGTTGTGGAGTGGCAGCTGCAGAACTCAGGTGTATTATTTTTGGGTAGCATAGTTTCTAGCACCATTCAGAGATCCACTGTCTCAGAGATTAATGCCCCAGGCATTGCGCTAGAAACTTGAGAAACAAATAAGAATTTGAAGCAAAGAATGTGCATACCTTATCATTTGGATTACTTTGCAACAACTCTGCTGGCAATAAACCAATAGTAGAGAACATATTTTCATACATGTATGCTGTATATTCACCTAAAACAAGCTTTCTAAAGCTTGGGTCTAGGGTTTTTTTTTTTTCCTCTCGCTGGATTTTCCATCTCACCTGGCATGAATTTCTGCATCAGAAACTCATTTATCTTCATCAAGCAATTATTGACAGCCTGTCAATGTTCCCACAAGAGATTCATAACTGCTTAAGGCTTGGTTCTTAGCTTTGGAAGAAATTTGGTGGGAGAGACAGAATATATGGAGAATTTGTAAGATAATGCAATAAACATAAAAGAGGAAGCAATGAACTTGAGTCTGAAGTTGTTTGTTGATATTAAAGCAGTTTTCTGTTTGGCTTTTTTTTAAGTCTTCAGGAAGTACTCATACATGTTGTTGACAACTAAAGTTGTCTTCTAGAAAACAAATATTGTGGGGTGAGGTACAATGACATATTTTCTTCTTAAAATTGAGGAGAAAGGAATTTCTAAATTAAAAACTGTTATTAGTTTTTATTTCATTATTGAATAAAGCCTCCCACCTCCTCAGTTATTTTCTTTGGTTGCCCTTCCTTCAGATTACTTTCTATGAAGAGAAGAATTTCCAAGGCCGCCACTATGACTGTGATTGTGACTGTGCCGATCTCCACACATACCTGAACCGCTGCAACTCCATTAGAGTGGAAGGAGGCACCTGGGTTGTGTACGAAAGGCCCAACTTTGCTGGACACATGTACATCTTACCCCAGGGTGAATACTCGGAGTACCAGCGTTGGTTGGGCATCAACGACCGCCTGAGCTCCTGCAGAGCCATTCACCTGGTGAGAGTTTGAGACTTGCATGCTCTCACTCTTGTTCTGTCACTCTCTTGCTCTCTCATTCTCATTTTTACTTATCTGAAAGAGTTATCTTAAGGTTTTCCCAAGTCTTGATGGGTGCCTAAGGAGCTAGGGATGCAGTAGTTAATGTGCTTGGCTGCTAACCCTAAGGTCAAACCCACCCACTGGAGAAAGATGTAACAATCTGCTTCTGTAAAGATTTATAGCCTTAGAAACCCTATGGGGCAATTCTACTTTGTTCTACAGGGTCGCTATGAGTCAAACATGACTCAGTGGCATGAGTTTGGTTTTTGGTAATGGATGCGTGTCTTTTGTTGGCTTCTAAGGCTTGAATAAAATCTTAGGGAAGTTCATAAGACTGAATATACTAATTATTTCCATAGCTCTTCTCTCTACCTCTTGAGTATGTTAAAGAATTAATTTTTGTCTCATAGAGAAAGTCAGTTATCTTGGTGGGGAAGAGAGTTCAGATCACCAGGCTTTCAAGATAGTAGGTTCTGAACCATTAGGTTCTCTGAGTTCTTGACCTGCTGGTGATTTCCATAATGTTTTGCTGTTCATTTCCTCCTGTTTCTTCAGTCTAGCGGAACCCAGTATAAGCTTCAGTTCTTTGACAAAGGGGATTTCAGTGGCCAGATGTATGAAACCACTCAAGATTGCCCTTCCGTCATGGAGCAGTTTCACATGCGAGAGATCCACTCCTGTAAGGTGCTGGAGGGGGCCTGGATTTTCTATGAGCTGCCCAATTATCGTGGCAGGCAGTACCTCCTGGACAAGAAGGAGTACCGGAAGCCCATCGACTGGGGTGCAGCGTCCCCAGCTGTTCAGTCTTTCCGCCGCATTGTGGAGTAATGATATGAATGGAACCACACGATTCCTCCTGGGGGCTAAAGGCTGGCTGGCCTAGTGGTCCGTACATGCATAAATAAAACAATGGGCTTTGAATTCCTCTGCTGACTATAATGCCTCCCTTTAAATGCTTTTAGGAACCAGCAATGTAGTGCCCCCCACACTGGGCAGTTACACAAAGCAACACATCCTTCAGCTTATCAGTCTAGATCTTTGTGCTAAACCAAATGGGACTGCATTAAAGAATTAGAAAAATCATAGTGCCATGTGGTGGTTCTTTTTGCTTATGTTTTGCATTAATTAACAGTTATAATAGTTGCCACTTATTGAGTGCCTATAACATCCCATTTTCTATTCACAACAAACCAATATGAGAGATGATTAATTTGTGTTTTACAAATAAGGAAACTGAGGCTTAGATTAAAAACTTGGCTGAGTTCATCAGGTGATGGATGGAGGAGCCAAAGTTTGATTCAGGCTATTTCTGTGTCCCAAGCCCTTGTTCTTTTCTCTTTATTTCCAACTCACTCATTCAAAACATATTGGCTGAAGATCTGATTGAAGAGGCAGAACACCTATCAAAAATGACCAGTAAAATCAGGGCTCTTGAAAAATGTGGCATCATAAGTCACCTAAAGTTCCTTGTTTAAGATCCAGACACTTCTGTGTCAGTTTACGCTTCACCTTAAATTCAGTTTTTCTGTAAAAAGAAAGGACATAGTATTCAGTTTCTCCCTACTTCACAATAATTATAATTTGATTTTATCTAGTTTTATTTAATTTGAGTAACTCAAGCTTGTACTATTTAATCTTGATGAGGAGGCAAACGATGAAGAAAGCACAGCATCCTCAGGAGTATTTAGTGAGCATCTGAGTAAACGTGGGGTATTCTGAATACATCATTCTTTAAAAGAGATGGCAAAGCCCATGTCCTCTTGGAGCTTGTCTTGGTTCTCTAGTGCTACTCTAACAGAAGTACCATGAGTAGATGGCTTTAAGGAACAGAAATTTATTCTCTTACAGTTTGCTGTTAGGTGCCGATGAGTCGTCTCTGACTCATAGTGACCCTATGTACAGCAGAATAAAACACTGCCTGGTCCTGTGCTACCCCCATGATCTGTGCCATACCTGAGCCCATCATTGTAGCCACTGTGTCAATCCATCTTGTTGAGGGTCTTCCCCTTTTTCGTTGACCCTCCACTTTACCAAGCATGATATCCTTCTCCAGGGAATGGTCCCTTCTGACAACATGATGGAAGTAGGGGAGATGAAGTCTGGCCATTTTTGCTTCCAAGGACTATTCCAGCTGCACTTCTTCCAAGACACACTTGTTAGTTCTTTTAGCAGCCCATAATACTTTTCAGTATTCTTTGCCAGCACCACAACTCAAAAGCGTTGAATCTTCTTTGGTCTTCCTTATTCTTTGTCCAGCTCTCACATGCATATGAGGCGATTGAAAATACCATAGCTTGTGCCAGGTTCACCTTAGTGTTCAAGGAAACATCTTTGCTCTTCAGCACTTGAAAGAGGTCTTTTGCAGCAGATTTGCCCAATGCAATACATCTTCTGATGTCTTGACTGCTACTCCACTGGTGTTGATTATAGAACCAAGTAATATGAAGTCTTTGACAGCTTCAATCTTTTCTCCATTTATTTTGATGCTGCTTATCAGTCCACTTGTGAGGATTTTTGTTCTTATATTGAGGTGTAATCCATACTGCAGACTATACTCTTCAGTCTTCATCAGTAAGTGCTTCAAGTTGTCCTCATTTTCAACAAGCAAAATTGTGTAATCTGCATATTGCAGGTTGCTAATGAGTCTTCCTCCAATCCTGATGCCACGTTCTTCTTCCTATAGTCCAGGTTTCTGATTATTTTCTCAGGATACAGATTGAATAAGTATGGTGAAAGGATATTGAAAAAAGGCATTTGCAATGAATAAGTCATTGGTCCTGCAAAATTCTATCATGTGATCTATAGTGTTATTTCTATCACCAAGGCAAATTTTCTGGCTACCAGTGATTCTTCTTTGTTTCCAACTGCATTACAGTCACCAGTGATAATTAGCACATCTTGATTGCATGTTTGGTCGATTTCAGATTGCAGAAGTTGATAAAAATCTTCAATTTTCTCATCTTTGGCTTTGGTGGTTGGTGCATATATTTGAATAGTAATATTAGTTAGTCTTCCTTGTAGGCATATGGATATTATCCTATCACTGATAGCATTGTACTTCAGGATAGATCTTGAAACATTCTTTGTGATGACGAATGCCATACCATTCCTCTTCAATTTGTCATTCCCAGCAAAGTAGATCATTGTGGTTAAGGTGTGTGTCAACTTGGCTGGGCCTGGTTGAGTGGCTGGGCAGCTGGATGTAGTATTCCCCATGATGAGACTGGTAATCAACTCCATGGTGGGATCTATCACAAGCAGCTGAGTAGCTGCTTTGGGTATGTGGTCTGCTTCCTATATATAAGAAAGAGCTTTGGAAATGGTCTCAAGCTTATGGTACACTTGAACCCTGCATGTAACCGTATTATTGTTCAGCAGCCCGCCATGTTCTGCTGACCTTGGGACTTTCAATGGACTTGAATTAATGGCCTGCCATGTGGTTTGGTAACATTGGGAGTGTGCCATTTTATTTGTTGGCCTTAGGCTTATTAGCCTCAGCAGCCAGTAGCTGCCTGAGTGAAGAGATGCCTCTAGCTTCAGTGGGCCGGGAGCAAGAGGCAGAGCTGAAGCCCAAGGTTGAGGGGCTTTCACATAGCTCCTAGAGCCTGGCATTTTGAACTTGGACTTCTAACCTCCCAAAATGTAAGAGAATAAAGCCATCCCATTTGTGTTATATTTCTGTCAGAAAGGCACTAGGTAACCAGAACATAGATCATATGGTTGTTTGATTCAAAATTACAGTTTAGGAGGCTAGAAATCCAGAGTCAGAATGCCAACTCTAGGGGGCTGGGTGAAGGCTCCTTGACCTTGGACTTCAGCTGTACCTCTTAGTCTAGGCCCACTGGAGTTGTTATTGTTATTGTTATGTGCTGTTGAGTCAGACCTGACTCACAGCAACCCCTCCTTGGGTTTCAGAGGTGGTATCACTACAGAAGTAGATTGCCCAACCTTCTTCCAAGGAGTGACTGATGGGTTTGAACCGCCAGCCTTCTGGTTAACAGTCAAGTGCCTTTGGCACTATGCTATCAGAGCTCTTACTGGAGTTGTAGGCTTCTTCTGACTCATGTAGCTGCAGGCTGCTGGGGCTGATGAACTCAAGATGGATAAGTAAAATGGCAGAATCCTAAGATCAGTAGGCGAGATGGCAGATCACTGGTTCAAGTCCAAGAATTGGAGATGAAGACTCAGCCAAATACAGAATCCAGATGTGCCAAAAAGCTAGAGACCTTCCTCAAAGCTACTCCTTATATACTGGGAGCCGGCCACACCCTGAAGGCAACTACTTTGCTCACAGTAGATTCTACCACAGAAGTGATTACAATCTCAACATGGGGAATACCTACATCCAGCTGCCCAGCAACTCAAAACCATGACCCAAACAAGTTGACATACAACCTTAACTACCACAGAGCTTTTCCCAAAAATAACAAATTAGAATCACTAAGGGGAGTACTTGTTCAGATGCATAAACAAAAAAACAAACAAACAAAGAAAAAAACTCACGCTGTCAAGTCAATCCTGACTGATAGAGACCCCTCCTTGAGTTTCCGAGGCGGTATCTCTGTGGAAGTAGATGGCCCAGTCTTCCTTCCGAGGAGTGACTGGTGGGTTTAAACCACCAGCCATCTGGTTAACATTCAAATGCCTTAGGCTTTATGCCATCAGAGCTCCCTCCTCCACAAACACTTTTTTTTTAAATTGTGATTTGGGTGAAAGTTTACAGAGCAAATTCACTTTCCATATAGCAAGCTCACATACACTTTGTCTCCTGACATTGACAACAATTTCCCACAACGGAATAGCTCCCCTCCCACTTCCTCCCCACAGTTATCTCTTCCCAATGCCCATCCTTCCATGCACCCCTGCTCACTGAGCTGTCTCCCTGTGCATACACAGCCCTTCTATTCTCCCATGATTGTTCTCTCCAGGGAGTGTATCTACCTAATGTAAATGTTCAGTTCATATGCCTGTCTTTTGTTTGGCTGGAAGTCACAGGAGTGGGTTTAGTTCCAGACCTGAAGGGCAGCCAGGGGCCATAGTTGCAGGGATCCTTTTTTTTTTTTTTTTTTTTTATAATTTTGAGTTTTGTTCCACATTGTTCTCCCACTCTATCCAGGATCTCCTACATAGATCCCCCCTCTGAGCAGTTGACAGTGGTAGCCAGGCATCATCTAGTTCTTCTGGTCTCATAATCATATAGGCTGAGGATCACATAGTGTACCAGTCGCTTGGACTAATCGTTTGCATGCATCTTTGGTTTTCTTCATTCTTCTTTGCTCTGGATGAGGAGAGACCCATCATTGCATCTAGATGACCACTTGCTCCACAAATACTTTTATTCATTTTCTTATCTTTTGCTGCCTTTTGTTATTTTGTTTGTTTTGGCTGAAGGACTTTAAGAAATGGGTGAAAGTCAAGGCGGGAGAGACAGGGGACTGAGGCGAAGGATAGGGAAGCCATGGGCTGTGCTGCTGAGAGATCTGGTCCAAGAGCTGACTTTAGTCACCTGCCCTGGACCTTGTCATCCTAATCTGAAGCTAACTTTCTTTATGTCCAGAATGAGGGAGTTGAACGAAATGCTCTCTCAAGTCCTATCAAACACATTCTAATTTTCTAGAGACCAGAAGGAGGATGCTGAAAGACTAGCTGATGACCAAAGACTATAGACACTTATTTTTGTGGCACAGTTTTTGGAAGTGACCTTAGAGACCCTAACTCATTTTCCACTGAGGAAACTGAGGCTGTGGTGATAGAGTGAGGCTGTCAGTCTCTTCTCTCAAATCAACTGCTCCCATGTTCCAATCTTTGGTGAGTTGGTCACAGTCTGTTCAAAACAACCGGAGAAGCAATTTTGGCAGCAGGACAAGCAAACAAGAAGTGTCAGGATGACTAATCACAGTTGCAAAGAAGTATAA